TCTAGTTTTGCAAGTTTATAGGTATTTTTGAAACTTGAAAAAGCTTATAGTGGTGAGTGCATTTTGAATAAAAGTTTATAGATATTTTTGCATATTTACCCAATATTATTTAGTTAAAATATTTGACACTCATATGATTTGTAATTTATATACATTTTTATACATTAAATAAATTTAATTTAGTATTTTAGTAATTCTCAAATTATTCCAAATAATACGATTTTAGTAATTTATCAACTTAATCTGGATTCTCCCTATTTCAAGTGACTTGTAATAGGATTTTTCCAAAAGAAAATCTCGTTTTTTTTAGTAAATTGAAAATAACTTTTTATGTAAATGCATGCATACCTCTAACCCTAGGGAACATGGATTAGTATCCGAGCGTCAAGAGCTCTTGAAACTCAAACCCATTTCTTCATACCTATTGGGTAGATACTATCTCCAGTTCTTAATATAAGAACTATAAATGATTGATAAATTTGCTTCCAAATATAAGACCTCCATTTATTTTGTATTTCTTATTTATCCAAACTAATCCTATTGATTGTATATGTTAAGAGGATTTATATCAAAATAATAGTTTCAGAGCGTATTTAAGAAAAACTAACACATATTTTTGACAAATAAATAAACTAATTATTTTATTTAATCTACTCAAATTAATTAAATAGATATTAAAGATCCAGGGTAATATTGTAGAAACTTTTCCTTCTTGTTCAAAGCATCGATCCTCTTTTCAATTAGCTGCCCACCATCCCAGACAAGGATTGCATATTTCTTTAGGTTGGATAATTCATTGGGGTTCTTTTATTTCGGCGTGAACACGTATAGGGTTCAATGATAGCACGTTTCTAGCCATAAACTATTTAAATTTTATGACAAATTTAATACTACTTTTAACTGTTTATTAGTATGTGTAAATTAGTTAAAAATATCTTGCAACAAAATTTAATGCCTCCAACAGCGGAAGGAAAATGCGACCAATGTTTTTGAGAATCAGGGGTTTTTTGTTCTGGGCTCATCGCAAGGTGGATTTTTTTAATTGTCTTGGGCTTCTTACTTTTCAGACTTTCGCAACATGAGAGCAACGTATTTGAAGGTAACCCTGGTTAAGGTTCCAAACCTTTTATTAATTATATAAATTGTTATAAGAATATAATTTAAAATAATAAAATTTGAAATTAATGATGGAATTGGAATAGCAACAAAGACACTCATCAAGACTCAAACTTGGGGCCCGTTTAGTTCAATTACTAAGTGTTTAGAGATGGTAATACAGTGCAGTGCAGTAAAGTGCAATGTAATGTTTGTTACCATCAACGCGTTTGATATGTTATTAAGAAAACTGGGCAAAATATTTTTTTTTTTTGCATTTAATCAAATAAAAATAATAATGAAAAGTCTGGAAAGCCCTTCAATCACAACCACAATCATCTTCTTCCTCCGCTCTTCGTCCGCTCATGCGCCTCCTTCTGCAAATGACATATCAGTCTTACTAATCCATTTTTATTTCCTTCGTTAATTCAATTCCAAATGCTCAGACCAAGCTTGTACACCCAACAAAACCATGAGCCATCAAGCTGTAACCCCCTAAATGCCTCACCCCAATAGAATACCATCACTACGCAGATCAAATGAAAAATGAAATATTGTGGATTAAATTAACATTGGGAGGGTCCGTCGGATATTTTTGTTGTTAATAGTGGGATGATCAAAGCAGTTTTTAAGGATGAGGAGTTGTTGGAAAAATGCAAAAGTTGGTTAGTCGGCACAAGTAGGTATTGTTATGATGTGGAAGTTGTAGATATAGACATAGATGAATTAACTTGCTTTTACTTTGTGAAGGAGAAGGAGGAGATGACAATAATGGAGGGAGATGACAAAGAAGGAGAAGAGGGAGTGGTCATGGTAATGAAGTGAGGGAGATTAGAGACAAAGGACAAGGTGTTAGTGGGAGAGACAATCAACGGAGAAATGTTGAGGGCAACTATTGTCCTTTTACATTAGTTAATGGGTATAAAATGGGCATTTTGTATGGAATTGCAGTCCTGTAATGATCATTCATATGCTCCCCTCATATGAATGAATATTACCAAAAAATGTGAAAAACATTACCATTGCAATCTTTTCCATCATCTAAAAGCTCAACCAAACAGGCCATAGATGGTAATGGGGTAAAGATTACCATTGTAAGGCTATAATGCGTTTGAACCAAACAAGTCCTTACTTGTAAAAGGCACGTAGATATACAAAGGGTTGCAACCTTTATCACTTAAGAATTTTATTAACATGATTTTTTGGTGAAAGATAAAGCAGTCTTCTTAAGTGTAGAGGGATTCCTATTTGCATGGATGTCTTTCTTTATGCTTTTGTTTTATGTTGCATTTATTCCAGAGTATAAAGGTTTAAGTGTGAGGGATTTGATTGTACACATTTATTATGTGTTTTTATATGCTTAATTAAGGATCTTTATCATTGTTTATAGGCTCCTTTACTAGTATTGGTGTATATTTTGGATCAAGAGTTTTTGCACAAAGTTAGTCTTTTTGGAGTTAAAATGGTCATAACTAGTGATTAGTTGTTACTAATTGATTTCCAGGAGTAGTGATATGTCAATTGGGCTAATTCTTATTGTAGGACACACAATATAAAAAATCAAGGAACAACATGACCAAATGAAAAAGTGGTGTTTCTGTCTCCAAGGCGAATGTGCAAAAAGTTGCAGCTATGCGTTTTGCTTCGAGTCAACCCAAAATCTGGACTCAATATCTGCTTTGTACTAATAATGAAATGCAGATAAATTGTAGACACCGATGGTACATTTAACTTAGGTTTTCTGGTTAAAAAAAAAAACTTAGGTTTAATAAATTTGACTTTGGGCTAATAATTCCTTCGTACACATTATTTCCAACAAAAAATTTATACCGGAGCATGGTTTTAATAGTCACAGTCAAAATAGTCTAAATGAATATAAGTTTGAAAATCTTGCTCAACAAATCTTGTTAAAACTAAATTGACAATTTAGCATTTATGACTTATTATTTGACATACAAGGCTTGTTATTGGTAATTGGATCGTGGAAATATGTCAATTTTTGTTAAAATTTAAGTTAATGTGAATAGCTTTTTAAAATTTGTTATTTCTCATACTAGATTTGTCATTGACAATTAAATTATGAAAATAGTGCCAATTTTTGTTAAAACTTATGTTATTGTAAATAGCTTTTCAACACTTGTTATTTCCTATATTAGACTTCTCGTTGGTAACTAAATTATAGAAATAATACCAATTTCTGCTAAAACTTAAATTAATATTAATAGCTTTCCAAAACTTGTTATTTTTATATTAAACTTGTCATTAACAACTAAATTGTAAAAATAATGCCAATTTCTGCTAAAACTTAAGTTAACATGAATAACTTTTCAAGACTTGTTATTTTCTACACTAGACTTGTTATTAGCAACTATATTATTGAGATAATATCAATTTCTGCTAAAATTTAAGTTAATGTTAATAACTTTTCAACACTTATTATGTTTCAATTTGAACCAAATATTTTCTATTAACTAATATTAAATCTCAATTTGAACCAAGTCTTACCAATACAGTCAAGGGAACAAACGCATTAGTGTTTTAAAAGATTCTAACTATAATCAATCAAGTATTATTATAATAATAGCACACACCAAATGAATTGACCGACCAATGATGAACATGATCAATTTATTAAGCAAAAACGAGAGTAGTAAATAAGACGCCTTATTATGATGAAGGCAAGTAGCCATATAATTTGAATATTGGCAACCTTGCTTCCATACTTAATTTTTCCATAATTCTGATTGTGCTTTGCCACCTCAAAGTCTCCTGCATATATATTATAAATCCACAACTCTCTAACATGTCATTGTTAATGCATATCTATATATGTATGTATATTAAAGAAGGAGAAAGAAGAGGCAGGAGACAAAGATGAAGAGGGGGAGACGGAGAGGAAGAGAGGGAGGAAGAAGGAAAAGAGGATGAGATGGAAAAAAGAGAATAAGGAAGTATTTTGGTCTTTTTTCCAATATTTCATAGTTCATATTTAAGACCTCATCTCCCGCATTTAAGTACCTGTTTTGCAATTTTATATATTTAAAGATTTTTTTGTTTTGGTATTTTTTCTTCTTGTTTTTTTTGATAATTATGTATTTATAAGTGATTTTAATAAATTAAATCAAAACATAATCAACATTCTCAAAAAAAAAAAATCTAAACAGAAATCATCATGAACTACATCACCTTCAACTAATATCATTTATAAAATTATGATTATTTAAAATCACAATCGTTCACTTCTAATGCAGATACTAAATTAAATATTCTAGTATTTCATGTTTTGATTATTAACATCCTAATCCTATTGTTAAAATTACTGCTAGGTTTTTTTTATCATATCAAAATTTTTATATTTTTTTTATTAGATGCCATGTGACTTAAAAATTTGTAATTTTTTTTTTTATATAAACTTAATGGTTGAACTGCAAGCATATTTTAGCCTATTTTCAATTTAATATTTTTTTATTTTTAAAAATCTCTATCGAGAAACTTCTTGGGGTTTAATTTGATTTCACGGAAGGGGCTGACTCGTTCTTAACTTCTTTTACTTCCTGGCACAGTAATCTGTGTCGCCTCCTATGATAACGAGCCGCTGTCCTGTTCACTTCGTCTTATATATAAGATATCCGAGCGCTCACGATTTCCTCTTCCCTTCGAACGCTGAAACCAAGGCCAAACCCTAACCCTAGCTGTGCGATTCTATCCATGGACGCTCTTGAATCGAACCCTAATCCTTCTCCATTTCTTCCGTCCGAAACAGTCGTTTCGTACGATCATAACCCTGCTCCTCCGCCCCCGGAGAGCTTGGCATCGGATTTGCAGACGACATATGAGCAAACTGCGAACTCCGATTATCAAAACTCTTCGAAAACCCTTGCTTCGGATGGTCCAAACGTTAACGGTCAACCCCGTCTGCTACTGGGAATGGATACGAGAACGGACTGGATAGCAGTCAGGGCGGTGCCGATAGCTGTAGCAATTCGAAGCCTGTGAGTGTGAAGCCGTTGATTTCTGAAAACGCGTGGACGAATAATACACAGAGTGGCACCGACAAGGATCACTCTGGTGGGGAAGAGGAAACTACAAGCAAACGTCGCCGCCGTAGTCGATGGGACCCGCAACCTGATTCCAATGATCAGAGTGGTGGTGAAGCCGGTGGCGGAACGAAGAAGAGGAAGTCACGATGGGCCGATGATGAGCCGAAGCCGGTGATTCAGCTTCCCGATTTCATGGGCGGTATTGAGTTTGATCCTGAAATTCAAGCTTTGAATAGTAGGCTTCTTGAGATCAGTCGAATGCTGCAATCAGGTTTGCCTTTAGATGATCGCCCTGAAGGTGCTAGATCTCCTTCACCTGAACCGATATATGATAACATGGGAATTAGAATTAACACTAGAGAATATCGTGCCCGTGAAAGATTGCAAAAGGAGAGGCAAGAAATCATTTCTCAGATTATCAAGAAAAACCCCGCATTCAAGCCACCCGCCGATTATAGGCCACCGAAGCTTCAGAAGAAGCTGTACATACCAATGAAAGAATATCCTGGTTACAACTTTATAGGGCTTATTATTGGTCCTCGAGGCAACACACAGAAGCGCATGGAAAGAGAAACTGGTGCTAAAATTGTGATTCGAGGTAAAGGGTCAGTGAAAGAGGGTAGACTGCAACAGAAGAGGGATTTGAAACCTGACCCTTCAGAGAATGAAGATTTGCATGTTCTTGTGGAGGCAGAAACACAAGAATCACTTGATGCTGCCGCAGGCATGGTGGAGAAACTCTTGCAGCCTGTGGATGAGGTGTTGAATGAGCATAAGAGGCAACAGCTTAGAGAACTTGCGGCCTTGAATGGTACAATTAGGGATGAAGAATATTGCCGGCTGTGTGGTGAACCTGGCCATCGCCAATATGCATGCCCTACGCGCACTTCTACATTTAAGAGTGAAGTGGTCTGTAAGCATTGTGGGGATGGTGGTCACCCAAGCATAGACTGTCCAGTGAAGGGAGCCACAGGCAAGAAGATGGATGACGAATATCAGAACTTTTTGGCAGAGCTGGGAGGGACAGTTCCAGAATCATCTATAAAACAGACCAACACGTTGGCAATTGGTTCAGGCAATTCTGGAAGCAATCCTCCTTGGGCTAACAATTCTGGATCGACTGGCGGTACATCACAAGCTGGCTTAGGGGCTAATCCGGTTAAAAAGGAAATTGATGATACAAATTTGTACATTGGGTATTTGCCGCCTACTCTTGATGATGATGGTCTGATCCAATTGTTTCAACAATTTGGTGAGATTGTTATGGCAAAGGTTATAAAAGATCGGATGACTGGTTTGAGTAAAGGATATGGGTTTGTCAAGTATGCTGATATCCAAATGGCAAATAATGCAATTATGGCCATGAATGGCTATCGCCTTGAGGGTAGAACCATTGCAGTGAGAGTTGCTGGTAAGCCGCCTCAGCCTACTGTTCCTCCTGGTCCGCCAGCATCAGCCATGCCCACATATCCTATTTCAAGCCAGCCAGTTGGTGCCTATCCATCCCAACAATATGCTGCTGGTGGTCCTTTAGGCGCTGCACCCCCTGGAAGTTATGCCAGTGCCCCAGTTCCATGGGGACCTCCTGTTCCTCCACCTTATGCTCCTTATGCTCCTCCCCCTCCTGGATCAACTATGTACCCTCCTATTCAAGGTCAATCTATACCTCCATACGGTATTCAGTATCCTCCAGTCCAGACAGCCCCTCCAGGTGCCCCATCCCAGCCTGCAGCTTCTAGTGAATCACAGCAGCAGAGTTTCCCTCCAGGAGTGCAGTCTGACAGCAGCACTTCTACTCAATCTACGTCGGCCAATATTTATGGGAGTTCAATACCTTCTATGCCACCAACTGCTCAACCTACATATGCTACATCTTATGGTTATCCGCCTTACTATGGTACAGTTCCCCCTCCACCCCCCCGCCTGCCCCTGCACCTATCCCGACTTCAGACCCACATGCCTTGGGCTACCAATCCTTCTGTGCCGCCGC